TCTCTCTCTCTCTCTCTCTCTCTCTCTCTCTCAAACACACACTTAACAGTAGCTATTTGTTTGTCTGCTTGTTTGCATCTGCTATCCATCCATGTATATGTATTGCACATGGGAAGAATGTTTTAGTTCCTCTCCTGAACCTCTGAGAAAAGTATACATCAACAGAAGTTTTTGTTAGCTGCCCTTTGGGATGGAATCATTTTTGAGTTGGAATTGTAGGCTTTGCTTTTCATTAATGCGTGGCCAATTTCAAAATCTGGGCAGATTTGAAATTGAATTTTCAAACATGTAGGTATGCTGGTTATATATGTGCACATAGATGTGCTCCTTGTATGATTGGATGTTCTATGAACTTATATTTCTTGAATGTAACATGATAAATTCCCCTTGAACTAATTTGATATTAATCTTCACTTATGCCCTAGATTCCCAAAAGCTTAGATTATAACATCTTTTAGAAGACCCATGGAATGTATCAATGGCAAAATATTTTCCGACATATGTTTTTGTGATGCATAATTAAGGTTCCTTATGCATATTGGACAATTGAACGGGTGTATCATATATTCATATGGTAATCTTTCTTCCAAATTAATTATTTTATCCCTGTTAAAGATATCCTTAACATTCTTGATACCTTAATATGGCAATTAGATGTTACGCCATCAACGATATTCTGTATTTATCCAAATTTGTTCATACACTACAAAATTAGTCTTCACTATTTTGTCTTGATTGAAAACTGAATCTTGATCTGATATGTTTCAGAGTCGTGAAAAGCTTTCAAGTTTTATTATGTGGGCAATTTCTGCTGCTGTGGAAGTAGAGTCTGCGAAGATGCTTCAGCACAAAGAATCTCACCAATGTTTCACTATTATTCCAGAGGAAGAGCTGCAAGAAAATTCTTTGATATCAAAACTTTTACGTTGGCTAACTGCGTCTGTAATTCTTGGGAAGCTTGATTGGAAATCAAATGATCTGGACCCAGAGTTTCCAAAAATGTTAAACATAAAAACTTTGCAGTCTTTAATGGATCATGTTGAAAGTGCATGCAGAGAAAACAGCAAATGCAGTTATGGTTGTGAGGAGATTTTAGCTTCTGCAATTCTCTACCTCCAACAGCTTGCTGGCACAAATTACAAAGTGCTACCATCAGCCACAACTGCCCTTAGTCTTCTCCTTTCCGATGCCTCCATTTTTGCAGGTATCATGCTTTATTTGATTAGCTATGCATTTGGGTTTTGGAGTTTATTGTTTGGGTGCGAACACGAGAAGTTGGTTTAAAAACTGCTTTAGTTATTTCGAAAAAGTGGCATATCTTACTTCAGAACCTCAACAGTAACCATACAGGGAATTGAATAATGAATGAGAATGTCCAACTGATCCCATGACATACCCTCCCTGGATACAAATTCTGGAAAAGAATTGGTCCAATTATGATCATTATGAGTATCTGCTGGTGAGACTTTAGATTGATTTTGCCTAATAATTTTGTGGGAGAGCCACCAGTTTTAACCGGATGCCTTGGGTCAAGGACAACAACTGTCTTTGTAATTAAGTTTTAATTTTTTATTTTAATGTTGAGTAAGAACAATTGAAACCACATAGACGGACTTCTAGTTGTGGTAGGCTTACATCAAGAATTAGCATACAGCTCTTAGTTTTATTGTATTTGCTTATGGACGAGCTCATCAATTGTGGGCTCGGAACTATGATGTGTGTTTATGTGACTTTGCTCTAGGTTATGATAGAAAAAGAAAGAAATAAAGTGGTGAGCTGCTTTGTAATCTAGACGTATTAGTCAGGAAGGTGATATGATATGTATGCTGTTGTATTAAATTGCTTCTATTACCATTAAAAAAAAACTCTCCTTTCCTCTCTCCCCAATATTTCCAAGATACCCATAAATCCTAACTCTACCTTTGAAAAAGGTTTTGAGATAGTTAAATGGTTCTATCACGCTGAACCATTTTCAGAACTGTAGTTTTACAGTGCACTGACGATCAAATGCATATGCACAAAAAATAGATTTACACCTTTTACTTACAGCCTTCATGTAATCTGTTTCAGGGTTCTTACGTAATAATGGGAGTGTTGTGAAATCACTCTGGTCGAAGATAGGTTTCCCTGCTGAAGCTAATCCTGCTTGGAGATGGTAAGATATAATGTTCCCCCACCCGTTTTTTCCTTTCCTCTTCAATCTTTGCACATGGTATTTGGCAGGGACTTGTTGACTCACATTTACTTTTTCTACCAAAATTTCCTAATGGTTTATTGAGGTCACTGGGTTTGAAAAATTGACCAAAATAGATGCTCTGTTTAGACTTTTCCTGGACACCTTATAGTTATAATCAAGGTCTAAAATATCGAGGGTTTCGGAAATATTGGGAGTCCAAAAACACGGATATATGGATGGGAATATCGGGAAATGATCGATATCTGTAAAAATTGAATAAAAACCACGGAAATTGTAAGAAAACCTTTGAAATTTTGATTGAAACTTTAGAGGATGTTTATTTAGTCAATTTATCTATTATTTTATCACACAAAAATTAGAAGGAAATGCATTGCATAATGGGTTTGACTGATTTAAGTTGATTATATAGCGAGCTGACAAATACTGTAACTTAAAAAATTGTTTAATATGCAAGTAATAAAATGGGTTTTTATACTATTATGTAGGTCAAGAATAACAATAACAAATGTAAAGATAAATGACAATAATAAATTAGAGTGATTTATATAGTATATGTATAAATTTAAAAAATTATATGTAAATATTAAGTAATAAAAGGGGGTTATACGGTAAAAAGCTTAACGTGTGTGTAAATTATAAAAATATATGCTAATTTATATGATTGAGAAAGTCCATATGCTTTTCTGTAGTGAGTTGCTCTAAATATGTTAGAGATACTATGATGACAAGCAAATTGCAATAGAGCGGGTGGTTGAGAGATACAGGAATTGGTCTCTAACCTGGGTTTAAAACCAGCTTATGTTCAATTTTATGTGTTTTCGTCTTTATTTCTGATTTGAGAGAGTGGCGATAAATTGGTGATAATTTCGAAATTTCGAGATATATCGTCGATATAATGACCAATATAGCCTTGTGAAGGATGGAAAATTTCTTCACGATATTTTCGCCGAAAATATCGCCAAAAATATCGAAATTTATACGATATATACATGGGATATTGCCAAAATATCGGAGCTTCAAAAAAACGAAATTATCGCTGATATTTCGGCAATATTATCGAAATTTAAGACTATGGTTATAATCATCTTTTTGTTTACCAGGACAAGGCTCCCATGTTGGGAATCAAGTTTGATGATAACTAATAAGCTGACACTGTCAATTTGATAAATTGTCTGAAAGATTTTAAAAATACAGTAACCTTTCACTAGCACATTTTAGGAATCCAGTCTGTCTGATATTTTGATGTTTTGCTAGCCTACTCGAATGCTGGGTGCGTCATTTGTGCCCGGAAACCCTGATCAAAGCTAACTTGTTCTGGCCATACAATTTGTACAGGTCATTTTACCAGCCATGGAAGGATCTTACATTGGAACTAACTGGTTCACAAAAGATGGAGGAACTCCATGCCTGCCAATCTCTTTTAGTTATTATTTCAAATGTGCTAGGAAAAGGACCATCAGAATTGCAGGTTTCATCAACACAAGAAGTAGATAGATTGGGTGTATTTGAATGGGAAAGAAATATTGCAGAGACTCAGTCATGCTAAGAAATGGCTGCTAGATCCCAGACTTTTCTTGCTCAGGACCCCCGGACGCAGAACTTTGGGCTTGAGGCTTCCTAAGAAAAAAGGGATTCAGAAATTAATTTTTGAAGTTGACTCTGCCCTTACTATGAGTTTTGTTAAGGGTTTCTGTTCAATCCCATAACCCTTGGCATTATTTATGAATGTAGAAGCCTTTTGTATAGTAGTTGGAGTTGTGAGTTGTTCCATGTCCGTAGAGAAAAATAACTTGGGTGCTAATTTTTTGTACGAGAAAAACTATAGTGCACCGGGTATATTAATCATCTCTCTTTCTCTCTCTCTCTCCTCACGTGACAAGATGAGCTCTTAGAGCCTGCACAAGAGGGTCGGTATCTTCACGATGGCCTCTTCTCAAAAGGATAAGAATCCATTCAATCCTTGCTGGAATTTGTCTCCCTGAAATGACGGGGTTGCGTAATTTCATGTAATTCTATAAAAATCCAGGCTCTCGCTAGCTGTAAACAGAAGAGATGTTCAAGTCCTTGTTTGGTTGTTACTCAAATAACCTCCTAAGTTGCATCTGCTAAGTTCTTGCTACACAACCTAGTTTTTCTTCTCAATATATGTTTTTTCAACAAATAACGCATTATTAAATCAAGTTCTACAACATGATTGTTTGCAATGCAATAATGTAGTGTGCATATCAAATGTCATGTAAGCTGAGAAAAAGAGAAAACATTGGGGGCTTATAAGCATAAGAGAAGATCTTTACAATGATTTAACAAAATAATTGCAAAACTAAATGCAAAAAGAAAAGTTGTTGAAAAAAGACTTACTTATGAGAGTAAATTCTGTATCTATTCTATTCACAATTCAATGAGTATCCCTTTATATAAATATTACGGGATAACAAAATAATGTTATTCTTGTGATATACAAATTCCTTTTAGGGTTTACAAACACAAAGCACACTATTGCAGTTAAAGTTGAGGTGGAAACATTTTACCCACTATTACCACATTATTGCACCTACATACATGTTAAGGAATGCACCAAATATCTTCGTTAAGGCATCGTGTTCACACAAAAACCTTTTGTTTTTGTTTTTGTTAGATGGGAAATCACAAAAATAGATGTAATATTTTATTTTCCAGATCCACCCTCCCCAAGCAAGTCCATAGAAGAAATATACAAAATTGTATCCAATAAGACATGGGTAATTTAGTCATTCCACTATAACAGTCCAAAAAGAGCAATAAACAGCGCCCCCCGGCTGAGGTACTAATACTAGATATCAACAACTTTCATAAAAATGATTGCAGACAAAGAGGGAGACAGCAATGGACTCGAAGCCGATAATCACGCTCCTTTTCTTAATCTCGGCAACCGTCATCGCAGCCCAAGAGTACGTCCGGCCTCCGCCTCGCAAAGCCCTCCATTTTCCATGGAGCCGAAAACACTCTTCCCATCCCCAGCAGGTAGCTTAATCATCTTTACCTTCTCATCTTCTCACTCTACTGTTTCTTTCACTTTCTGGGTATGTCAAAATTTACTTAGGAAAAATAAATAAATCAGAGTCCGACTCCATATCTTATGAAACCATAAATCTTTTGCTCCATTTTAAGTTGGGTTCTGTTTGTTTTGCCAGAAAATACTTTCCTTTCTGTCTAATCTTTCTTTTATTTATTTATTTATATTTTGTTTAGTATGTTGTGTAGCTTGATTTTGATCTTGTATGGAATAATGGGCCATGTGAACAAGCTTGTTTTACAGAAAAGAGAAGTTCCAAAAGTTTGTTGTTATTTGAACTCTATGTATATTGTTAGTGTAAGCTTAACAGAGCAGGGGTGGAAATTGATCTAAATGGAGAAGGTGGCTCAAACAAACATGCGTCTGATGAACAGTTGCGGGTTGAATCATAATTGGATGTGTGCCTTCTGTTAAAAAGCAAATCTATCCCAGGTTTTCTGCTGAAGTATATATAAGATTTGTTGCTTGTGATAAGTTTTATAGCGTACCTCCTTGAATCTCAACAAATCCTTAATTATTGGAAATGATCAATTGTTGCACATTGGAGTGAAAGTTAGATTTCTGGATGTTATGACTGCATAGTGAACATGCAAGTATCTTTTAAGGCATTTGGCTTTGTTTGATATTTTCTCTTTATTGCTTCCAAATTTATGAAGTTCTTCAGGTTTTAAACCGTTTTATTTATGGTAGTCATTGACTATATATATACTTTGCTGCACAAATTCCTATTGCAGGTGCACATCTCTTTGGCAGGGGACAAGCACATGCGAGTGACTTGGATCACTAATGATAAATCTGCTCCGTCAATTGTTGAATATGGAACATTGTCAGCGAAGTACAGTTCTGTAGCTCAAGGAGAAAGTACCTCTTATAGTTATCTGCTCTATAGATCAGGAAAGATACACCATACTGTCATTGGGCCTCTTGAACATGGCACCGTTTACTTTTATCAATGTGGAGGACAAGGTCCTGAGTTTCAGTTCAAGACCCCTCCAGCTCAATTTCCAATTACTTTTGCCGTGGCTGGAGATCTGGGACAAACTGAATGGACAAAGTCAACCCTAGACCACATTGACCAGTGCAAATATGATGTGCATCTGCTTCCTGGAGATCTTTCATATGCTGATTACATGCAGTCCCGATGGGATACATTTGGTGAGCTGGTGCAGCCACTTGCAAGTGCAAGGCCATGGATGGTAACCCAAGGGAACCATGAAAAGGAGAATATACCATTGTTAAAAGATGGGTTTGCATCCTATAATTCCCGATGGAAAATGCCGTGTGAAGAGAGCGGATCAAGTTCGAATCTTTACTATTCCTTTGAAGTTGCAGGTGTTCATGCTATCATGCTCGGTTCATATACTGATTACGATGAGTATTCAGATCAATACAGGTGGTTGAAGGTTAGTTAAATTTCTCTTCTCTTGTCAGAAGGAATATGTTTTTTCTTCTACATTAAATTATACATTATATTTGTTTGTAAAAAGACACTTAGAGGTAGACCTATGACGGTCATATATTGTCATTCTTGTGAAACAGGCTGATCTTTCAAAGGTAGACCGTCAGAAGACACCTTGGCTGGTTGTGCTCTTTCATGTGCCCTGGTACAATAGTAACAAGGCTCATCAAGGTGAAGGGGACAGCATGATGGCAGCAATGGAGCCATTACTGTATGCTGCCAGTGTGGATATAGTGCTCGCTGGTCATGTTCATGCTTATGAACGCACGGTATAGCTATGCTAATTCAGCATATATTTGTTTAGTATAAATTTGGGGCTTTCAGTTTTTAATTCATGTTAGCCCATTTGACAGAAACGTGTGAACGGTGGAAAATCAGATACATGCGGCGCTGTCCACATAACCATTGGTGATGGAGGAAACAGAGAAGGTTTAGCTCACAAGTATGTTGTGCTCACTATTTTCAATATAGGAAAATAGAATATTTGTTTTCTCATGTGCTTGGCAATACAATCCTGAAATTCGGTTCGCATTGGCAGGTATATAAACCCATCTCCTGAGTGGTCAGTTTTCCGGGAAGCAAGTTTTGGTCATGGTGAGCTGAAGATAGTGAATTCGACCCATGCCTTTTGGACCTGGCATAGGAATGATGATGATGAGCCTGTAAGGTCTGATCAGGTCTGGATAACCTCGTTACTCAGTTCTGGATGTGTTGCTGAGAAGAGACATGAACTAAGGAGTATACTTGTGGGGCCATAGAACTTGTCATGCATGTGATGGCTTCACCTGATTTTGTCAAATCAGGGGTTTTTATGTATAAGATGAAATCATCTACCAACTGGATGATGTGCTAATAGCTGCTTGAATTGGTAGAACACGGTGGGTCCACGATGTGCTAATTGGGTTCTCTCAACTGGTTGATGTGTCTGGAAAACTGGTTTTTTAAGCAGTTTGAATGTGCAAGAACTTCAGCATATTGTTGAACTCTGCGTGTAGTATATGTGGTAAGATACTCCCTTTATTTTTGTCTAATGTAACATATATAGTTCTCCCTTTATGTTGTTCTTGGCAGTATGTCTTTCTGGCTATACATTCAGGATCGAAGGATTAGATCATACAGAACTCTGGTTAAAAGCTCCAGGCCCCAATGGCTACTGAATGTTTCTTTTAAACATATTGGCACATCTGTGGGTGTGGCATGGTCAGCCCCAGTTTTATTTCTGGAAGTTTGCCAAATATCTTAAAAACAATTCTCTTCCTTTTGGTTCTAAAACAATTCCATGGTGCAATACGAAGTATTTATCTGTACAAACAAATATACAAAGATCATTTCCAGAAAAAGGAAAGAAAAAAAAAACCCTAGGTGCATAGTGAGGTGTGGCCTCAAGAATTGCTTTGAAAAAATTGTACGGCAACACTTAAAAAAGCAAAATTCACAAAAGGAATCATTTTTGAGTTTATTCCAAAAAGAATACATTCACATTAGATTACAGAGGTGTCACACGCATGCGCAAAGAGATTACAGTTGAAACTTGAAAGTTAACAAGAACCAAAAGGTGGGAAATTATGGTCTCCCAAGTGCTTTCTGCAATTCTTCTCCCATTTTGATGCAGCATAATGGCCTTGTACATTAAGAACGTCCTCATGAGATCTGTTAGATATGAAATGGCACTGCCTCATTTGATTTTACCAACTTCTTCGGTCTAGTGGCAACACATGCAGAGAACATAATATGGTATCATTCCTCCCACATATCCAAGCGCACCCGATCATCTTCAATAGAGTTCCTCTTTTGTAGCTTGCTGGGTGTTGGAGAAGACTACTTAAACCATTGGCAGTAAGTGATGTAGCGTCCTGCATCAGTAAGACTATGACCTGAATTGGTGAGCACCGGACCTGTGTGACTTGGATGAGATGAGTGATTAGCAATCTGCAAGAGCTAACTGATATGCCAATGCTAAATTTGACAAGCTACACTACCAAAACACTACATTTGGAACTTTACCTTCCAATGTTGTGTGCCAAAGAAAACATTTGATTTCCAACTACTATTACTTTTTCCACCGCAATTTCTCCTCCTAGTTACACTGTTCCTATATAATCCACCAAACCATCATCCAACTATCAATTCCTTTGGCTAAATTTTATTTTTCTTTGAGTAATATAGTACTGTCGCTTGAAGAAGCTGGAGGTGAATTAAAGTTTAGATATTAAACTAAAAAAAGCAAATAGGAATAAAACAGAAAAGTCAGATTGTCTATTTCAGTTGTTTCATGTTGTTGCCTATTTTTTGAGGCCACCCGAAATTTGTTGCAACTCCTCATATTTGTACTTTAACAAGATGTAAAAACTCTTGATCTCTCATTGTCTTGTATGTAACTCTTGAATGCCTAAAAGTTCTGTCTGTTTCTACCAAAATGACCAGAAATGCTTATTAAAAAAAAGGTAGGTATACAACGTACAAACTGATTAAAAAATTATTTAAGTTTTCAAAAATTTGATCTTTGATGATCCTCAACCAATTGTTGCAGGCTACTATATATCTTAATTAGTTCTGAATGCATTCCCAAATTTTCCTTATTGTTTATTGTCTATTCCTTTCCTAATCTGTTATGAGAATACGCACTGAGAAACATGAGAGAAGAAAATTTGAAAAATTGACAACAAACAATGGATGAAATCTCTAAAGTTCATGGATTCTTTCTTCAACTAATTAGTGGCTGTATGGTAGAGCCAGACACACACAAAAGTCTAAACCCACAAAACTTTTGCCCAAACCACACACAAAAGGTGTTATGAATTCATAACACTAAAACCTTGTACCATACAACCATCAATACGGTAGAAGGACCTGGGTCATTCTACCATGCACGTGGGGTATTCCATGTGAGTGTAAAATTGTCTATGGATTCATAAACCTTTTGTGTGTGCTGTGCATAAAAGCATAGACATTTATAACACCAATAATGCTAGGAAGACCACATGTTAATACCACATGATGTGACAAGTGATGTACACCTCAATGTCAATTAATTTATCCCTTCGGTTGTCATTTAATTTATTCTTAATTTTTAATCCATTTCTAGGTTCTTCAAGCGAACATAATGAGCCTAAAGATACGGCAGGGGAAATGGTAGTTCAGTGGTGAAGGAAAACTAGAGTTGTAACTAAATGCAAGAGGAATGGAGGTTGACAAGAGAATAGTAATTGGAAGACTTTTTTTGTATTTGGCATAGAACATTTTAACGCACTGTGTCACAAACAAAATTTTGACATAAAAACTTTCAGATATAGCATTGGCATTTGTATTTGAGAATTTTTCTTCTAGAATTGAGTACCAAACCTGACCACACTTAAGCATCTGCAAACTTTTCACTTCTATCCCTGCACTTGGAGTCTTGTTCTTGATCTCTCTTTCCCCTCCAGAGTACAATCTGTTCATCCTTGAACAAAAGAGGGATGCAAGGTACCAGATCCTGAATACATAGAATACACAAGGGGATAGATCACTTAAGGGAGCAACTCCAGACAGATGCAGAAAACAAGAAGCATAAGAACGGAATAGAAACCCACAACTACCACCTAAACAGAAAGAAAACTCCAATTCAACCCAATACAAGTCCTACCCTTAATTTCACGCCTATCCTTTTGCAATCACTGGTACCAACATGTGTGCAGTCTAGTCTCACTACCTCCTCGGTCTCAAAAGCCTCCCTGACTCTATCCACAACATTCACATACACACCATTTCTAGCTGCAGGGAATAACATCAAACAATAAAAAAGCAAGCTAACAGAAGGGAACCATAAATTGTTTCCATATCCCGTTTACTATTATAAACAACAAAGAAAAGCAAAGCGTCATCTGAAACTTCCCAAAAATTAAATTCATTTCTTTAAGTTTCCTTCTTTTTTGATAAGACACTTACTAAGTTTCATAACAGGTGGGGAATTTAGTCCTCTGTTTCTTAATTCCTTCGTTTCTTCAAATGTCAAGCCATCAGCAACATTCTTCACAAGCTTTGGATATATCGGAGTGTACGGTTTCCAGAGCATTACAGGTATTACGGGTCGATTCTTCTGATCATAGTTTCGACCCCGGTATAAAATAAGGACATTAATGTGCTGGTAGACAATCTTCCCACCAGACTTGTCCTGCACAGACACTAGTATCTCCATGAGCTAATAATTTCCGAACACCAAAAATCAAAACCAAATCCAGATAAATGGAGCTGACTGAGTTAAGTTCAAACCTCAAGGTGGAAGCAAACATTGTCCATGTCAAGAGTTGGCACTCCCAAACACTTGATCCTCACAGCTTCTGCCCGCTTCCAATGGTTGTGGATATCATCTAACATGTTATGAGTAACTCCTCCCTTTCCTGATACAAAATTAAATCATTTAGTCCCTCCTCATAAAAATGACTGCAAAACCAAACCAACTTTCAAACCTAAAACATATATAAAGAGCTGCATATAATAGAATACCATGCAATACATAGTTAATCTCAGGGTAGAACCCTAAATCCTAACCCCTTACCCATGTTGATTTGCCGAGCACAATCACTATGACGGTACCGTTCCACTAGCTTAGCCACTTCCTCCTCCGTTAGTGGGTCTCCAAGAACCCGTTTCCTCTCCTCCGCGACCCGGTCCAAGTCCACTTCTTGTTGGGTCGGGGCAACAGTGCCGGTCCATTTCCTATCAAGCCGACCTGGCCCAAAAGGAGAGAACTTCGGCGACTCCCGGAACGCAATAGGTTCGACCTTCGGGTTTGTTTCTGAGTACGAGTAGCTGAAGTCGAAGGGTAGGTCCGATTTGAGAGGCTCGGTCCGGCCATTCTTCGAATCTGGATCTTTATTCTGTGTCTTGTTCTTCTTGGGCTTTGGGGGTTTGGAAACTGGAGAGAAAGGAGGGTCGTCTTCATATTGGTCTTCGGAGAGAGAATGGCTGAGAAAGCGAGAGAGGGAGAGAAGGGGTTTGGTCGGGTCGAGGGTTAGGGTTTTGTGAGGTGAGGAGCGCCATGGGAGTAGCTTAAGCATTGCAACAGAGAGTTGAAGTTAGAGGGAGCCGAGGAAAAACTGTAACTGCAGGTTGAAAATGAAGGGGCAATATCGTAATTATGATGCCCACATGAGGGAGGGGGAGAGAGAGGCACAGCTCAATGAAACGACAACTTCTGTGAACAAACGCCACTTTCTTTGTCTTTTTTCTTCTTTTTTGGTTGCCACTTTCTAAGTTTTATGTTTACATTTTAACCCCAAATATACAATAACTTTCAAAATATTTTCGTTTTTACCCCTTGACGTATATCGTGACCATATCGGATACGTATCAATGCTGTATCGGATTTGCCGCATACCCCCAAAATATGGCGTATCGGTGCAACAGAGCTCTGTCTAGATTGATCAGCAATCTAGCATAAATAACAGAAGAAAAAAATGAGCAAAAAATGTCATGTTTGTTATTGATATTGATGAAGCATGGCTTACAAAAACAATTTCTTTGAAACACGAACCCAGCACCTACAATGGGGCAATACTGCTACCACTTTCCAAAAATCAACCTGTGTTTCAGTGACCACTGACCACATCAATCAAAATGTAATGATGTACTTTTGAATACGGCTTTCATCACTAGATTTCAAGATGATGTCAAAATTGTGTCAAGTGAGAAATTGAGCACAAGACTCACTCACCCCGGCGGGGAGACGTTGCTTAATCTCAGAAATTGAGCACAAGACTCCCTCACCCCGGCGGGGAGACGTTGCTTAATCTCTCTTTTTTACATCGCTTCTGGTCCTCAACCATAGACTCAAAAACATCCAAGAGATTGTCCAGCCCCTCAGGACTGTCCCCTACTGCCTGCAGTGCATATACAATGCTTTCAATGGTGGACAGAAATCCGGGCTTCGGCTGAAGCCTCACTTCATCGTACAAGCTCATTTTGTCCAATTCCAACTTCAAGTGTGGCAAGAGTTTCAGCCAGGGATTTTCCACATACATTCTCTTTGCCTTTGACCATGTTCCGTCCAAAACAATCAAATTCTTCACCTCAATATTCATAGCCTCAAGGTCATTGACACTAACTGCTTCTTCAGATGGAAATAAGAGTACAGATCCAGGAGGAACCTCCATTTCAAACTCCACATATTCATCCAACTCCTCACTTCCCTTCAATGGCTGCTTTTGCAACTTTTGTACAACAAACCCCTCTGCCAGAGCATCACCCGCATTGTCTAAAATCGTATCGAAATTTGGATTCTTACAGTGGCCTTCTGCCATCCAAATATGGGAAAGAGAGCTAATGACACCATACTTGCCAATGGTAGCAGCTATAACAGGCACATCATTACCAGTTTGGACACCTTCAACTGAATCAAAACCTTTGTTGGAAAGCTTGGATACTGCATCCAATGTGGTAGCACTTGAAACCTCATCAGCATTGTCTTGTCCATCTAAGTGCTTATCATCAGTGAACTCATGTTCTTGCCCTACAACTAATACATCACTGGTTGATAAGCCCGAATTGCTTACACAATATACACCTCCTAATTGGTTTTGAGCCTCACTCCAAAATTTGCATTTCTCATCACTTTCAATCAAACTACTAATATTTTTCTCTTTTGGGAAATTTGCAGATAACACAAATTCTGACTCACCCACATTTTCCTTCCCTGAACTGACCTCATCACAATATTCAAAAACCATCTTCTGGGTCTCTCTACTTTCCACAACTTGATCAAAACCTGAACTTTCTGAACCATTTCGGTTAGGACCCGTTTGATAATACGGGTCCAGCGACCGGATAAAGAACCGGGCTTCAAAATTTACGTCACAAACGGTAACTACGTTGAGATTCTTGAGGCCCAATTTGGCAATCCTAGTGGAATTAAGCGGGTGGTTCTTCTCTAGGCTGTGTTGAAGAATGGTTACACTTACAGAGTTATGGAGCCCCGGGGTCTGAATCCGAGTGCAGAGGCAGAGCCGGATGGGTTTGGAGCACGACGGGCAAATGGGTCTCTTGGAAGTAGCCTGGGTAGCCACCATTTTTAGGGGTTGAGGAAGAAAGAAGGGCTTTTGGAGAAGTGTGCAGAAATGGTTGTTTCGGGTCCGAGAACCGAACCAGCATCTATGTGTTCTAGCAGCCATAGTAGAAAAACAAAAGAAAAGAATCAGTGAAAAGACGACGGATAGCTAAATTTGGAGGACGACACGTCGTTTAATGAGTCTCTACGGTTGGTTTGACAATTTTTTTTTTTTTAAGACAAATAACAGTTTCTATTATTCTAAGTTGATTTTTTTTTTAAAAAAAAAATCTTCAAACTACCATGTTAGTTGGATTGGTCTATATCTTTGGTGTGCTCCTTATGATACAAAAAAAAACTTACATGTTAGGAGAATTGACACTATTTTGTTATCACAACCAATTATGTTCCTCCACCACATATAATAAAGGATTTCACATGGCGTAACACAATTGGATGAGATAACAAAACAGTATTTTCCGGTGATATACAAGTTTTTCTCTATAATACTCGTGTGTAAGTGTATCTCCTCCCTCTTCTCCTTCCTAACTTTAGTACAAAGACAAAATAAAAAATAAAATCAAACTCAGACGTGTCCTGATCACATGGCATATCCAACTGCTTTAATTTGATACAGAAAATGTCTTTAGTCAATGGAGAAAATTTTAAATGTTCCGGGTACACCACGTATCTGGTGTACCATCCAATAAACATAGGACATATTGAATTATTGTCCAACTTACTGCATTTCTTTTTATGACATGTGGCGGGCCGCATTGGAAATATTTCATATGTCCTTCGTCTATTGGATGGTACACTAGCTATGTGGTGTACCCGGAATACCCAAAAATTACTCGAAATATTTCATATGTCCTCCGTCTATTGGATGGTACACCAATCGAGTTGTGTAACTGGAACACCCAAAAATGACCCCAATCAATGGCTTATCTTGAACTGAACAAAAACAAACTGAGGAGTTGGTATGAATCATGATTGGCCACATGAGCCTGTCTTCCACGCGCCAATAGTTGGTAGTTTATGACATTTCAAGCACCAAAAAAAAAACACTAACGATAAACCCAAAAGTCTTTTCTTTAAATTTTTTGTTTCTTCTATTTGTGAGGGAAAAACTGGTGTGATTTTCCCGAGAATCTGAGTTTTCCGAGAAACCCAGTTGGAGAAAATGCACGATTTCTGCTTCACGATCCCGTACGGGTTGCTGCTGATCGGTGGAGGACTATTTGGGTACTTTAGGAAGGGGAGCACAGCTTCTTTGGCTGGAGGTGTGGGCATTGGATTGCTTCTCACTCTTGCTGGCTATTTTAGTCTCAAAGCCTTTGAGAGGAAGAAGAACTCGTACCCTTCTTTGATTCTTGAAACGGGTAGGCTTCTTTGTTTGCTTTTAGAATTTTGGTGGGTCTGGATCCCAGATGTGTTAGTGATGCTTCACTGAAATTAAAGGAAGTTAAGGTGAAAAGAAAAACAATTAAATCGTGATCTGGGTCTTTGTTTCTTGAGATAATGCTTTGAAAAACATTAATGGATCACAAAATATGCAAGTTTTGTAGTTTGATTAATTTTATAGGATTGGCTTTGCCGATATGCAGGAAATGTGACTTTTTCCTTTTTTGTTGAGGTTATCTGGGTCTCTGTTTCTTGAGATAGTTCTTAAAGAACATTATTGGATCACAAAATGTGTTAGCTTTGTAGTTTGATTCATTTGATAGCATTGACTTTGCTGATATGTAGGACATGTGATTTTTTTTTCCTTTTGTTTTTCAAGGTTATTATTTTGTTCTCTCAACTGATTTCGAAGCTCTGTGCTTCTCCATGATTGGAAGCCTCTGCTTATTTCCTGTTGAAAACTGTTTCTAGGTTTGTTAATTGAATCTTTATAGTTTGTCTGCGGCTATGGGTTGCATACATCCATAACAGATTTAGGCATTTCTTCATTGGGCAATGCTGGATACACCAAAAAAGTCCTAAAGTTTTGGATCCCAACTCATATAAAAGCATTTCCTCTGTTCATATCTAGGCTTACTTTAAGTAACATTTATTCATATCTTATAACTAAAAAGTTTTATCCATTAGTGGCAAACTTGGTAGGGTGATTTGAAATATGTGCTTTATGTGTAATATGCTCTCAGTGATTGCCTTTCAAAATTTCAAGAATTTTAAGAAGCGAAGAGATTGAGATAGAGATAGTTTGCATTCTGTTCTTCTTTTTCTTCTTTTTCTTTTTTCATCCTGCCCACTGTTACGTTGATGCTCAATCTCTGAAAAATTTGTTTTGGAACTGATTCATGTACCTTAAAACAGTTTGTGCTGCCATACTCACGTGTGTCATGGGACAGCGGTACGTGCAAACTTCTAAGTTCATGCCAGCTGGTGTTGTTGCTGGCATCAGGTAAGTTCAGATTCATTGTGCCCTTTTATGGTTGTCTACCTCATACTACTGCATCTGAGTTTTGAGTGCCATGGTTCAGTCTGTAGGTTTATAAACATCAGAAGTGCTTTATGTACCTTCTGCATCTGGTTTTAATTTATTGCTGCATATGACTGCTTTCCTACATTGCAACCCCTGTATCTTGTTTCCAAAAAACAAATTCAATATGATATTTAGAATATCTTCTTTCTCCATGCTAGCTGGCTTTGGCATAGATTGAATTGAACAAACGTTATCTTTACTACTGTGCTGGTAATGAGTCTGTGCACCCAAGGCATGTACATATTTCTTGTGGTTAGTAGATTTGGGATGGTAGGTTATGTTCTCAAAGACATGTAACTGTAAAGTAATTCTGTCAAAGACTGGCAGATTGTCGAGGATGGGCTATTTATAGGTCTTTAAATTTATTGACATCAATTATTGGTAAAAATTGGCTCAGTTGAATGTTAAACCAAATACTTATCATATTTTCTTGACAATCTTGAATTCACTGAATGACCGAAGCTCTCCTGAATGATAGAACAAGGTTAATCTGTTCTATTGAAACCTATTTTCTGAAATTTAGTTGAAAGGAGTTTCAGATGCCATATATGTTGTAGCACCTTAAAATCAGTGCCATTGGGAAATCATACTTGCATGACTTCATCTTGATTCACATCATAATTCAGAAGTTTGGATTCAGCCCGCCCTACGTATCTGTTTTCTTGTGTTTACATCTATTATCTTTGCAGAATAGAACGGGTATACCGTATACATCTGTGGTCTCTAAAAGAGGTAGGATAGGAAATGGGAGAGTAATGAGAGTTGGAATAGAATCTATATCTCCCTCCTGTTATATGGTTAAACTTAAACAGGAACGGAAAGGGGTCTTTCTATTTTTTGTTTGGTTTTGCAGGAAGGCGGGCAATTCACATATGTTAAATTATAAAGTTATTTGGTTAGCGTATTGTAGTAATTGCACAGTGTTTCTGTCATTGTCCCTAATTGTAGAGTATACCTATGATTAAAAGCTTTCAATTGGAACTTCTCAGTTATATGTGTTTATAGGTTGTCCTTAATATGACTTGTATCTGAAGTTTCTGAAGCTAAAACCACTTCATTTGTTGCAGTGCCCTCATGACTGGATTTTATCTCTACAAAATTGCAACTGGAGGGAACCATATTCCAGCCAAGACCAAGTGATGGTATTTGAGGACTTATTTCGACTACTTATAAACTGACATACTAAAATCACACCGATCCAGATGCCCATATTCAATGTTAATCCAATAGTGCTAGATACTATGTTATGAGGTTGGGTATCAAACAAGAGATGGCTTGTCTTTGAAATTTGTCGAAACCTTGTCTCTGAACTTGCATTGATCATTTACTGTACTTTTAATCGAATCAAATCAACTGGAGCTCTGGATCAACTCCAGTGATAGACATGACCCTTTTGTTTTGTTTTCTTGGTGTACCAAACCAACCTTCTTGTTCGCTGGTGAAGGGAAAATCCCTTGAGAGCACAAGAACAACCTCACGCATGAATTGAATTAGAACTGCTTGTTTGCACTTGCATACAAGTTCATGCAAGTGCATGTAGCAGTTTGACAACAAAACCAGAAGAAAAATAAAAAATAAACATGAGTTGGGTTTCTGTAGCAAAGACATGCGAGCTGGACTCAAAGCATACAATATTTAATTAACAGTGGCTGGAACCGAAGCAAATTACATAGTCAATTATGAATATGTTATAATTTAAAGAAACAAGGGTACATATATATATGTCCTACAAAGCGTGTTGCTTCTGAAATTTCTTCCTTATATAAGCTGATACATACGAAACAAAAAATGAAAAACCTCTTTTGTATAATTGTCTTTGTTTTAGTTTCATCGTCAATTCTTCGCAGAATTTCGGGAACAAAAGGTAGGCAAGAAATGTAGTTATCATACTGATTATAAACTCTACACTTTCACGCAGACTCTGTTTGGTGTCTTCTTTCTGCCGCTGCGTTGCAGAAATTGTTACTACCATTGCTACGGCGGACAATCGAGTGAAGTGTGAAGCTAGACGGGTTGGCAAGAAGTTTTTATCTACTATTTCATTATAAATCACAAAAAATGAGAAAACGAAGGAAAATAAGTTCGAGAAAGAAAAAATTCGAAGCTGTATTCTTGTTCCATTTAAATCTGCATTTCCATCGCTTCCTGATGCTCCAGTACCAACGAAAGTTGCTGCAAATGTAATGCTTGCAACAACCGTTGCTACCAGTAGTCTAAATTCACGTCTTTGCAGCTTTTCTTTCTCGCGTTCAATGGTATCCTTCTCGGGAAGGTTCCAGAAATCACGTCTGATTTGGCGATGGAAATATGGAAGACCAATGAAATTGTCCAAAACCCTACGACTACTACTACCGAAGATTTCCTGAAACATAGAGAAAGCACAATGAAATTGGTTGAAAGGCAGTATTATTTCAACAGAAAACACAAGATACATCACTATCAGCTTGAATAAGAGAATCAAGCCAATTGGTGCATCTTCCAGCCAATGCAAACTGGACTCTAAGTTCAAAGTATGCTGGGCTGAAGCATGCACAACTTTGTTTGCTTCTCCAGGCCTAAATTGAATATGCACAGTCTGAAACAAACAAAATTCAACTCTTAATTTGGGAAAGGGGATTAGAACTTGGGTGCAAGGGGCAGGCTATGAATTGGGGAATTTAGATATGGGAACCAAGGTATTGGAATTGGATCAACTACTCCCCCTAGTTGATCCCATTCCCGATTTTGAGGGTATTCGATTATGGATTTTAAGGTGGAACCCACATAATTTCTGATTCCTTATATGTGGGGAAGTCAGGAATTGGAATCATTCCAATACCTATTCCTAATAAGTAAACATGGATAGTGAAGAATTATATGAAAAATTTAGAGGGCAAATATAACTCTAAAACCCTAAAACAATTTAATCTATACTTTTAATAATTAGGGATACCCCTGTTATTGATCTGAGTCCACAAAAGAAGCTTAATTAAGAAGAATACTGAAACTTACATGTGTGTTTAACCCAACACTTCTCCAAGTCTATTCATTAAAATTATTTTGTTAATTTATAAATTTTATTTAACTTTAAAGTTAGCTTATGAAATTATGAAAATATAGCCTTGAAAATTCCTTATAAATACCTGTTCTCCAATATTCTGGCTAAGACAAATGTCGTAGCCTGTGAGAATTTCCTATTGGTAGCAATCGTGTCCACTCTAGGGTCGCCTGTCAACGCTCTTATAATTTCAGGATTTTTCTTGATGGCAGCCAGATGCAACGGAGTGTTTCCATCTGCATCTGCTTCATTTATTAGTTCTGCAAGCTTAGACATGCTCAGTGAATGCATGATGACATTTGTTCGTCCACCTAAAACTGCAGCATGTAGAGCCGTTTGGCCATAATGATTGACCAAATCACAAATATCTGGCCGACACCGAATCATCTCTTCCATTACATCAGTGTGACCTGCATAGGCCGCGACATGGAGAGCTGACATTCCAGATTTGTCCAAGATGTAAGAAACAGAACTATCACGTTGCATCAACAGTTGAGTTGCTTCAAGGTTCCCTCTCAATGCTGCGTAGTGTAAGGGAGTCCACCCAAGTTGATCTTCAGCCCTTTTTATTATATCTGGATATTTGGACACCATAGTCTCCACAATACCTATAGTGTGTCATTTATATGAGAGGAAGATATTACAGAAGATGAGAATATTCCATGCATAACAGTTTGAACAAATATAAAGTATTTGAAAATAAGAAATATCAGTTTACCTTCCGATTCTTCGTCCATACAAGTTACCGCAACATGCAAAGCTGTGACACCTTTCAACCCTCTAAAAGAAGGAGATATTGGACAGTCATTTAAAATTGACCGAGTTACGAGCGGAAAGCCATGCCGAGTAGCCAAGAATAAAGGGGACTCCTTCTTAAAATTAGTCAAACAACACAACCCAGGATCTGCAGCCATTAACAAATTCACCACCCCAACGTGACCGTTTCTAGCAGCAACATGAAATGCTGTATCTCCTTGCAAATTAGTGATACGAAGTAGTTTGTTAGCTTCACCATTTGGTCCTCTTTCCTCTTCAGCTCGTTCCATATGCAGAAGTTTCTTTGCGTGTTCAATGAGGAACTGTACAACTTCATCACAGCCTACTCTCGCAGCTACGTGGAGAGGAGTGTTGCCCTTCTTATTGTCAGCCCAAAATAGCAAGGATTGATCATCGAATAGGACATCTCTGAAGAAATGTATTTGTTTGTATTCAGCTGCAATATGAAAAATATTTTTGTGAGCGGGGGTTTTCTGATGGAGAATTGATACATCACCATGTCTAGCTCTTCTGAAAAAACCAACATCGCCCGATTCTGCGGCCTCATACACAGAAGGATCCATGGCTAGCTTCCAACTTATTTTCTCTCTCAAAAACTTTCTCAAAGTGGAATTGTATGAACACTATGTTTAAAGACCCCTTAATTATATATAGATGTTAGAGAGGAGATGCTAAGTTTGCAAAATTTCCTCACCCCATTGATAAAAAATAAAATATAAACTTTCTCATTGTAATTATTTGCCAATTACGTCAAGGTACCAATAGTCTAATATGGCTTATTATTAAACTCTTCAGTCAATGGGCTAACTTAAAGGGAAACTTCCTTTCAGTTTCTTCCCATTGCATGAATTCCTCTTCTTGATCAAGTCGCTTTCCCTCGAGGAGAGGACATCATCTTCTTGGCAAATTCTGGTGGGACTATATTTTTATACCATTGAGAAGAGAAATATCGTAATTAAGAGCCAGTTGGTCCCAAGTTATATCATATACAGGCAGTGGCGGATGCAGGAATTGCCACTCATGGGGTCATAGTGTAAACTACCCAATAATTTTTTAAGATGAAAAAAATATTGAGATGGTGGTGGAGGTCTTGGGGAGATTGGGGTTAGGGTTGTTGTTGAGGAGAAATGGGATTTTGGAGGTCTATTTTAGGGTATGTGCTGTTAAGAAGCTGCAGCCCCCTTTATTTTTTTTTTTTTCTTAAGTCCTAGCCCAAAACGACGTAGTTTTGGCTAAGTCATTTAAAAAAAATTTCCTTGGCCAAAACGACGTCGTTTTGCCAAGCAGTTTTTACAAAAAAAACAAAAGAACCCTAGCTGCTCACCGAAGCTTCTTCTTCTCCATGGGGTCATTTCCATGGCTGCCAAGGGCAAAAACCAGTCCCTACCACTAAAATCCAGATTTGCCATGGGGTCGTCTGACCCCATTGACCCCACTTTTTTAATTTTTGAGGAAAGGCAATGGAGAGCTTGGAAAGCACATTGAACAGAGGAGCTTCAAAATCTTTGTAAGAAATTTTTTATATAATTATTTTGTATAAAATTTGGTTTTAGTTTAGTTACATTAACCTGTTCATTATTTTTTTCAGCTCCTTCACACGATTGGAGCAACCCTAGATCTTAAAGGAGAAAACGCCAGGATCACCTAATGATCCAAAGGAAATACTGTAAGGCTCATTTACAGTTGGATATAATATATATTTCTAATAAAGTTTAGGGTTTTTTTTTAATTTTTTGTCAAAAGAAAGTTTAGGGTTTTCGGTATATGATTCTCTGCTCATATGGGGATTTTCTGAATATATTTTCTTCAGGTTTGTGACTTCAAATGGTTGGTGATCCTCTAAGAAATGGTTGACTTCGAGGACGAGGAATTGTTGCATATATGGCTTGCAGTTTTTGTAGGAGTGATTCGAACCCAAAAATCCATCTTGAAAATTAGGAATTAATATTCAGAGAAATGGTGCATATATTTGGATATTTTTTTTTTTTGGATATATGGAATTGGGGACTGATGGGTTTAATTGTATTATTAGTTAAACATATGTAATAAAGTAATGAGATACTGACATGTCATTAGTCCCTAATTTAGAAGATAGCCTCTCAAATATCAGACCCTCTCCCAAGACCCCACGGCTTGGAAGAATTCAATATGGCTGGGCTTGGCTGATAATGTATTTGTTTATTTGAAAATATTGAAGGACTGACTCCCAAAATTGTACCTAATAAGCAATAGCAACCCCAAACTAGGATACTGAAACAAAAATAGTCGCTGCATAGTCTCTATTGCTTAATGGAGACAATCTATTGTCTCTAAAATCAACTTAGGAGACAAATTCATGTCAGTGGCTAGTGTGTGTTTTTTTAGTAGTGGTTGTTAACACAAGTGTAAACACCTTTGAGGCCATTAAATCAAGGGTGGTGCTAGAGGCACCAACTCTCTAATAGAGGTGGAGCCCGCCAATACAATGGGTCCCACGCTCTATTAGAGAGTTGGTGCCTCTAGCATTTTCCTTAAATCAAAGCACTTTTCAAGATATGAGTTATTGGTTACTCTTAGTAAAAGAATTTAATATAAGATCGCAAATAACATAATCTCTACCAATTTTCTTTGTGTCTCCTCTCTGTTCCAATTTTCTTGGTTATATGTTTCAGTACATTGGTGGAACTAGGACCAAAAAAAATAAAAAACCAAAACAAAAGATCATCCTCTGCCCCTCCCATTTATCCGACTCCACAACACATACCCAAACCCTTTCATTTAGGACCAAAAAAAAAAAACACCAAAACAAAAGATCATCCTCCGCCCCTCCCATTTATCCGACTCCACAACACATCCCCAAACCCTTTAATTCCCAAATTAATATCTCACAACCCTAGGAGCCCAACCTCCCAACCTCCCAACCTCCATCACTACCTCTCTGTCGGTGCTTCCATCACCGTCTTTCTCTTTTTTTAGTGTTATTTTCTTCGTAGGAAAAATTTCAACACTTTTACACCAAGACCCCTTGGCTCGAGAATCTTGGATCTGCCATTGATTGTCGTCAATGAAATTATAGTATCACCATGGAATTGAACATAGGTTGGGGCTGGGGCTGTGTGGGTTGCGGGTGGGGGTGGGGTGGTCAGGTCGTGGGGGAGGAAAAAAAAACATAGGGGAGGGGAGAGAGAGTAGAGAGAGAGAGAGAGAGAGAGAGAGAGAATGATTTTTCAACTTTGTTCTTCATTTTGTTTTATTTTAAGCTTTATTAAAATAATTTTTTTTTAATTTATCCATGTGTCACGATGTCATTGGAGATGTGGAGCACCACTTACCTTCCACATCAACAATTTAACAGAGCTTGTAACGGCATGGATGATTTTGATGTGTACATGGTAACGTTAAGGACTATTAATATCACAAAAAAAGCATAAGGATGAAAGGTGATAATTTCGCAAACCTCAAGGACCATTTGCAATACAAACAAAAAATTATTGCAAAATTCAAGTGCACTGGTGTCAATAACTTAATAGATGTTAGAGGAGCAAAAACCCTAGCCCCCTCCTAAAAAAAACCTCTCTAGCCGCAAAAACCTTGAGATAGGAGCAGGCCACTGTTCCTCCTCCTCTCTTCCTCTCCTCCTCTCTCCTTTGACGCATAAATCCCCCTCCCCACTCCTACTTTTCCTTCTCTTGTCCTCTCATCTCCTTCCCACCCCACCTCCCTTACACTCCCATCCCCTCACCTTCCCTCTCCTCTCTTTTGTTTGTTTTTGCAAATCTACGGTTCGGGCTTTTGATTTGCTTAGGGATGTGGCTACCTTTGTTGGTTGGGTCATTTTGCATATCTCTAGTTTCAGCTCTTGATTTACTTCATGTGTTTTAGTTTTGTTTGTAATAAGTGCATTAACTCGTTTTGAGTTTGTTGCATGTTCATAGTCTCTGCTTGTAATTTTTTACTTGTGAGAGTTTAAAGATTGTAATTCTGTGCATTGAGGTGCATGCGTTGTGGTTTATGCCTCACTTTTGCAAGCTTGCGACTTTTATGTCGGAATTTCTTTGGCCCTTTATGGCTATGTATGGAGGTTGGGTTGACGAAATTGCCCCTTGCATCGTTAAAGAAATTGACAAGAATACTAACATGTCCTTGAATTGCTACAAATACGAAACTACAATGGCAAAATTGACAAAATTGAACTACATGGTCAAAAGTGGTTGAAGTGCCAAATTACAGGGACCAAAAGTGACTTTTGGCCTTTGTTAAATGACTGACGGACTAGGTTATTTGCCAAGAAGATGATACCTTTTGACATGTCTTCTAGGGAGAGCGACCTGAAGACTAAATTCAAGCAATGGAACAAACATAAAAGTAGTGTGTTAGTTGATTATATATCTACTTAATTCAATCTTTGAAGACTATAAATTAAAGGGAAACTTCCAGTCAGTTTCTTCCCATTGCATGAAGACATGTATTATTATATATGTGATATATTACATGATATATGTAATATATATAATATATATGTATATATGTGTATATATGTATATAATAATAATAATAATAATAATAATAATAATAATATAGGTTGGGTTGACGAAATTGCCCCTTGCATCGTTAAAGAAATTGACAAGAATACTAACACGTCTTTGAATTGCTACAAAATACGAAACTACAATGGCAAAATTGACGAAATTGAAACTACATGGTCAAAAGTGGTTGAAGTGCCAAACTACAGAGACCAAAAGTGACTTTTGGCTTGTGTTAAATGACTGATGGACTAGGTTATTTGCCAAGAAGATGATACCTTTTGACCTGTCTTCTAGGGAGAGCGACCTGAAGACTAAATTCACGCAATGGAACAAACAGAAAGTAGTATGTTAGTTGATTATATATCTACTTAATTCAGTCCTTGAAGACTATAAATTAAAGGGAAACTTCCGGTCAGTTTCTTCCCATTGCATGAAGACATATGTATTATTATATATGTGATGTATTATATGATATATGTAATATATATGTGTATATATGTATATAATAATAATAATAATAATAATAATAATAACAATAACAATATAGGTTGGGTTGATGAAATTGCCCCTTGCATCGTTAAAGAAATTGACAAGAATACTAACATGTCCTTGAATTGCTACAAAATACGAAACTACAATGGCAAAATTGACGAAATTGAAACTATAAAGTCAAAAATAGTTGAAATGCCAAACTACAAAAACCAAAAGTGACTTTTCGCGTTTGTTAAATGACTGATGGACTAGGTTATTTGCCAAGAAGATGATACATTTTGACCTGTCTTCTAGGGATAGCGACTTGAAGACTAAATTCACGCAATGGAACAAACAGAAAAGTAGTGTGTTAGTTGTTTATATATCTACTTAATTCAGTCTTTGAAGACTATAAATTAAAGGGAAACTTCTTTGAAGACAATAATAACAATAATATACGTGTATATTATATATGGTACAGTACATTGGTGGAACTAGGACAAAGGCTACAGTGCATACTTAAAGCCTCTATTTGCAAATATTATAAGAATCCATGGGTAGAACTTGCTCTTAAAAATTGGGTGGTAAGAGCACTTCCAGTAGTTAGCCCCTTGCCATGGCAAGGGGGGGGCTAGGGCAGCTACTATTCACATGAATAGTGGCTGCCCTTGCAAAAAGTAATGTTGGTTTCCAACAATTGCCATGGCAAAGGGCAAATACTATTCATTTTTTTAATTTTTTTTTTCACAAATTTGTTTACCTAAATAATTAATTTGGACAATATTTTCGGATAAGATTTTTGGGTTCCTACGTGTCAATACTATTCATATATCATAATTGGATAAAATTTTCGGATAAGATTTTCTGTTTCAAATTTCAAATTTCAGATAAATTTTAAAATTCAAATTTCAGATAAATTTTAATGACAAATTTGGACCCAACACTCACACAACAAAACATCTTCCATGGTGCTCCATGCCTTAACACCGTCGATAGAAGAAGCCATAAAGATGATAAAGAAAAATAAAACTTGAAAATGAATAAAATGTTGAGTAGAAAGTGAATAAAATTTTGAGTAAAAAATGAATAATATTAGAAGTAGAAGAAAATGTATGAGGATTTGGTGTTGAAAGTGAAGAGTATTGGTAGGTATTTATAGAAAAAAATTCCAATATTTCGGATTTTTTTTTCATATTTTTATTGCAAAAATATTGGCTGCCATTGGATTGGAGGAGAGAATCACGATCGGAGCACCCAGACGACGCCACGTGTCCCAGAGCCGTTGGCGCAGCGCATGGCTGCACAAAAATTTAAACTTTGTGCGCTGACATCATCGCTGACATCAACCCTCCCTCGTTTTGGATCTCGGGCTCGACCTGCCCTTGGGCCAGCCCGTCTTCGTGGCCCCCACCTCCAGCTCGGGCCAGCCTGAGCTGCTGGAATCAGTTTTTGGCCCTAAAATCCCCTAGCCTGAGTCCAGCCTGAGCTGCTGGACTTGCTCTAAGGGAAGGGTGCCCATGAGCTCTTAAACCACTCTGTGATATACTATTTTTTCAATGTGGGATCTTGAGTCTTAACATGTTCATCCAACAAATGTTATATTAAATTTTATGAAAATAATTTTTGTGATACTTGGCTCAGTTGAATGTTCATCTAAATACATACACTTGGATATCATATTTTCTGGACAATCTAGAATCATGTGTCCCCACTCAATAAACAAGCAAAGCTCACCTGAATGATTGAACAAGGTTTATCTGTTCTGTTCAAACCATTTTGAGGAATCTAGTTTAACAGAGTTTCAGGTCCCATATCTTTGTAGCACCTTACAATCAGTGCTATTGAGAAATCATACTTTCAAGTTTCCCCTTGATTCACATCATAATTCAGAAGTTTGGATTGAGTTCACTCAACCTTTCCGTTTCATGAAATTGTAGACTATAGTTTTGCTAGATTAAAACCTTTCAATTGGAACTCCTAACACATGTTTCAATTTCCTGAAACTAAAACCACTTCATTTTAGGACCATGTCAACCACAATTAAAGGAATTTCCATCACACTTAGAAGGGAAACAAAAGCGTCGATTTGTTGGTAGTTGGTATAAGCAATACCATTGGCTTGAGTATAGTGTTCATAAAGACAAAGTGTTTTGCTTTCCATGCTTTCTTTTTGACATTGATCACTTACATAAGGCATTCACTGTAGAGGGATTTAGAAGTTGGAGAAGAGTTGGTGGAAAAGAGTGTGTTTTCCTTATTCATATAGGCAATATAAATTCACCACATCATTTTGCTATGCAAAAGTGGATGGATTTAAAAAACCCGTCTCACCATATTGACAAAGTAGTGCAAACCCCACAAGAAGTTGCAAACAACCGGTTGAGGCTTACAACCACAATAGAGGCGATTAGGTATTTAGCAAATCAAGGAATGGCTTTTAGAGGTGATGATGAATCTTATGACTCCTCTAATCGAGGCAATTTCATTGAGTTGGTGAAGGCTTTTGCAAGAATGAATGTAAACATTGAAAAAGTTGTGTTACAAAATGCTCCCTTGAATGCCCAATATATTTCAAATAAGATACAAAAGGAGATCCTAAGTATCTATTCTACCAAAGTGAGAAAAAGGATACGCGATGAAATTGGGGAAGATGGGAAATTTTGTATTCTTGTTGATGAAGCACTAGACGACTCTAAGAAGGAACAAATGGCTATTATCATAAGGTTTGTTGGTTGTGATGGGCATATTCAAGAAAGGTTTTTTGATATTGTGAGTGTTCATGATACTAACTCCCCAACTCTTAAAAGTGATATTTGTAAAGTTCTTGGCAAGCATAATCTTTTAGTGAGCAATATGCGTGGTCAAGGATATGATGGTGCTAGCAATATGCGTGGTGAATGGAGTGGCTTACAAGCATTATTTCTCAAAGATTGTCCATATGCATATTATATACACTGCTTTGCTCATCGTCTTCAATTAGCTTTAAATGGTGCAGCTAAAGAGGTAGGACTCGTTTGGAGATTTTTTTCAATGTTGAATAACATTGTGAATTTTGTTGGTGCTTCTGCCAAACGCCATTCTGAGTTAAAATTAACCCGACAAGCTGAAATTGAAGAATTACTAGCTGCTGGAAGACTTGGGACAGCTAAAGGGGCTAATCAAATTCGTTGTTTGCAACGACCTGGAAGTACTCGTTGGGGGTCACATTTTAATTCTATTAGGAGTTTGATTGATTTATTTGGTGCAACCAAGACACTTCTAACGGATATCAGTCATAATGGACCTACCTCACAATTTCGTGGCGAAGCAGAAGGTATTAAAATATCTATGTTATCTTTTGACTTTGTTTTTGCCTTGAAATTGTTGGACAAAACTATGAGATTCACTGATTTTCTTTGTCAAGAACTTCAAAGAAAATCTCAAGACATTGTAAAGGCTTTGAATTTGGTTGCAAGTACAAAAATGGAGCTTGATGAGTTGAGAAATAATGGTTGGAATGATTTTATACAGAGTGTGCAATCATTTTGTGAAGAACATGATATTAATATGCCTGATATGGGTGCCCGTCATACAATAGGCACTCGCCGTTCTTGTCAACAAAGAGATTGTATCACAGTTGAGCATTATTATCATATTGATATATTCAATGAGGTAATAGATTATCAGTTGGGGGAGTTAAATACTAGATTTCCAGATGGGACTGTGGAACTCCTTTCTCTTAGCTCAGCATTAGATCCTCGTGATGCTTTCAAGCAATTTAACATTGATGATATATGCAGTCTTGCTGAGAAATTTTACCCCTTAGATTTCACTACAACTGAGTTGCATGCTTTAAATCAGCAATTGGGATTTTATAAGATTGATATGGATCGCATTCAAGCCTTCAAGAATATTGATTCCATCCCTATATTACTTGAGCGCTTAATTGAGACAAAATTAGCAGAAACATACTACTTGATTGACAGATTGATTCGTTTGGTGCTAACTCTTCCTGTGTCTACAGCAACAACAGAACGAGCATTTTCATGTATGAGACTTATTAAAAATCGACTTCGGAATAAGATAGGTGATGAGTTTCTTGCTGATTGTATGCTACTTCATATTGAAAGAGAATTAGCTGATAATATAGATAATGAATCAATAATTGGTGATTTTAATGCTGTGAAGACTCGAAGGGTGCAACTTATATCATATTTTAATGATTTGAATGTTCATCTAAATACATACACTTGGATATCATATTTTCTGGACAATCTAGAATCATGTGTCCCCACTCAATAAACAAGCAAAGCTCACCTGAATGATTGAACAAGGTTTATCTGTTCTGTTCAAACCATTTTGAGGAATCTAGTTTAACAGAGTTTCAGGTCCCATATCTTTGTAGCACCTTACAATCAGTGCTATTGAGAAATCATACTTTCAAGTTTCCCCTTGATTCACATCATAATTCAGAAGTTTGGATTGAGTTCACTCAACCTTTCCGTTTCATGAAATTGTAGACTATAGTTTTGCTAGATTAAAACCTTTCAATTGGAACTCCTAACACATGTTTCAATTTCCTGAAACTAAAACCACTTCATTTTGTTGCAGCGCTCTCATGATTGGATTTTATCTGTACAAAATTGCAACTCTAGATACTGTACTATATCAGGTTGTGTGTATAAAATGAAACATATAACTTGTTTCTGAAAGTGGTTCGAATCTTGTTTCATGCCTTGAATTCATTGTCTACTGAACTTTTAATCGAAACCACGGGAGCGCAGGACCGACCCAAGTGTTAGACGAGACTCTTTTGCTTTGTTTTCTTTGTTTAGCTAAAAATTTCTTCTTTACTGATGAGGGGGAAAAGGCTTTCAGAGCATGTGAAGTAACCCCAGTTTCTCATCAAAGCTGCAATTAGATGCATAAAAAAGTTTCATTTGAATGGGACATTCAACTGAGTCCTACACTTCTATTTCAGAAAATGGGTAAAATACTTAGTGAACCTGAGTGTACCCTTTTGTCCACACTCTCCAGGGAATCAACCGTCTTGGCTAACCCAAGATTCCCCATATAATATCTTACAATGTAATGATGATTACAATTAGTCTTTGTAGAGTTTATTGGTCACAAAAACATTATCTAATTCCAGAATACATAAAACAACAAAAAGTGAAATCAGCAAGGCATCATTGTGATGTTTTCTAAGTACCCAGCAAAGATCAAGTCAACCTAATTTGTCTTGCACGTTTGGGGTTCAGAATCATGACAAAGATAATATGCGTCTTCATGCATTTGACATTTGTGACACATGAAACCTATGTATTTACAAACTAGGCGGAATGGCCATGAAATGAAGTTTTTTTTTATTAAACAAACCAAGTCCAATGATAGAAAACCATTCATTCCTTAACTTCACCAAATGGGTGGTGTGTGTACAAACAGCTAAAAACAAACAGCTGAGGTACTATCGATGCACTACCAAACAGCTGAAATTATATTCCAAGCCGAACTTGCCATCATGAACAGAGTTTCACTGCACTATAAGAACCAGTAATAACCATGTTCTTCTCCATAATGGAGTTATGTATGGATTCTTTCTAGTTTTGCATAACCAATATTAATGTGCTTCTGCATATTTCGATACACCCGCCCGAAACCCTAAAAAGAAAAAAGCATTTATCTTCTTTTCCTTTACTAGACTCCCCCCATATGCATTGATTTTTCATTCTCTTGAATCCCTCCCTCACACTCTTGCAAAAACAAATTACGCCACACAAATCATGAATACACTTCTTGTCACCATTTTCCTCTTAGTCATCCCCATCTTCTTTCTCATTACGAGAAGAAGAAAATCATCGAAAAGGCTTCCTCCAGGTTCATTGGGACTACCCATAATAGGACAGAGCCTTGGCTTTCTTCGAGCCCTGCGCAACAACACTGCAGAAAAATGGCTTGAACAAAGAATAACCAAGTATGGTCCGGTTTCAAAGCTGAATCTCTTTGGCAAGCCAACAGTATTCATTCATGGACAGGCTGCAAACAAGTTTGTATTCAACAATGATGGCACAGCCATTACCAGCCAACAACCTGAGTCTACTCGAATGATTTTAGGTGACCGGAACATATTGGAGCTGAGTGGCGAGGATCACAAGCGAGTTAGAAATGCTCTTATGGTGTTCTTGAAGCCTGAGTCACTGAAGCAATATGTGGGAAAAATGGACGAAGAAATCAGGAAGCATCTTGAGTTGAATTGGCATGGGAAGCAAAAAATAACAGTAAGTTATAGCGCTATAAAAAGCTTTTGAGTCAATTACACTTAACACTCATATAGGTTGGGACCATACCTACTGCAAAGGCGTTTAGTTGGCCAATCAGTTTAACAGATATGTAAATCGGCACTTATTCGCTGAATTAAAATTCACATTAACGAAGTTTTTCCGTTGTTCGTAGGTCTTGCCTCTCATGAAGAACCTCACGTTCAACATTATATGCTCACTGCTTTTTGGGGTTGAACGAGGACCTCGCAGAGACGAACTCATTGAGTGTTTTCAACTAATGATAGAAGGAGTGTGGTCAGTCCCTCTTAACTGGCCAATCAGTTTAACAGATATGTAAATCGGCACTTATTCGCTGAATTAAAATTCACATTAACGAAGTTTTTCCGTTGTTCGTAGGTCTTGCCTCTCATGAAGAACCTCACGTTCAACATTATATGCTCACTGCTTTTTGGGGTTGAACGAGGACCTCGCAGAGACGAACTCATTGAGTGTTTTCAACTAATGATAGAAGGAGTGTGGTCAGTGCCTCTTAACTTGCCGTTCACGCGTTTCAACTGCAGCATCAAGGCAAGCAAGAGGGTTCAAAACATGCTTAAGGAACTAATTTGTGAAAAGAGGATGCAACTTGAGCAAAAAACTGCTTTACCACTCCAAGACCTTATCACTTGCTTGCTTAGCATTCGAAATGTTGACAATGAAGAAGAATTAACTGAAAAAGAGATCTTGCACAATATCATAATAGTTATGGTTGCAGGATATGACACTTCATCTGTGGTCATTACTTTTCTTTTGCGGCTTCTAGCTAATGAACCTGCTGTTTATGCAGCCCTTCTTCAAGGTATGCATAATCCCCCTACTCATAAAATTCTACACGACACAAAAAATGAAGCGTTCAAGTTTACCTTATTCCATTGGATCGCTAACGAGTTGGAACCTTTGTAATGTGATTGATGCTTGTTCATTTGTGTTTGCAGAACAGGAAGAAATAGCTAGAAGCAAATCCTTTGGGGAACTTCTGACATGGGAAGACCTTGCTAAGATGAAGTACACATGGAGGGTAACAATGGAAATTCTGAGGACAACTCCTCCTGTCTTTGGTGGCATGAGGAGGGCTATGAAAGATATTGAGTATGGAGGATTCCTCATCCCTCAAGGGTGGCAAGTAAGTTCAAATTTACTACAAGCATATATATATATATCACAGAAATTCTCATTCTCTTTCAAAAAGATAGAAATATATATATTGAAGAAAATCCTAACATCAAAAATTGCTAGATATTCTGGGCTATTCCTATGACACACAATGACGATAGCATATTCCCTGAGCCATCAAAGTTCGATCCAAGTAGGTTCGAGAACCAAAAATCAGTTCCACCCTACAGCTTTGTTCCATTCGGAGGAGGAACACGAATATGTCCAGGATATGAGTTTGCCAGGATTGAAATCCTTGTTGCAATCCATTATATGGTAACTCAATTCACATGGAAGCTATGCGCAGACAACAAGTTCAGTAGGGTTCCCATGCCAGTACCTACTCAAGGACTACCTATAGAAATCATGCCAAGGAAACAAATGTAATGTTAAGATGTTTGATCAACTTCAATACTTATCATCCTAGCTATACGAAATGTCTCGATCTGGAACGATATTATATGCTATTCATGCATTTAAAGAAATCAAATTCTATCGAGCTACCTCTAGAGGTTGTATATTATGTTACACGAAAACGGGCCACGAGAGCATTTATGAGATTTATGGGGTCCTGTGTGCAAAAATTGAAAAGAAACCATTCTAATCTGTCTCTGTGATTTTAGACTTACCTTTCCAACTTAGTTCCAGCTATATTACTTTTGTTCTTTTATCAAGGGAATGGGGGAATTCGAACTTGGAACCTTTTAATAACAAAAAGCAAAAGTTCTAGCTATATGTCAAGTTTTTCTGTCTGATTAAATAAACAAAAACAATGAGGGAATAATTCCAGAGAACTTGGACACCTTATACTAATTTCTTTAATTTATTAAATGTATAGAAACAGTGAACTATACAACACATGACGTTGAACTGTTACTTATTATATTACAAGGCATACTTTGCATTCTTTAATAGAAGTAAGTGCACTTGTAAACCAAGAAGTTTGGTGGGGTTTTGTTTTCAGAGTTCTAAATGGAATAGTTGACTTATAGGCACATGAGATACCCTCCCAGAAGCCAACAAAAACATATTTAGCTTTCCTTGAATTGCATTGAATTGAAGATGGATTAAACTCCTGTTCTTTCACTCCACAAACAAAGCCTCACAAATCATGGATATCCTTCTTATCACAGTGTTCCTCTTCCTCATCCCCATCTTCCTTCTCCTTGCAAGAAGAAAAAAGCCATCAAATAGGCTTCCTCCAGGCTCACTAGGGCTGCCCATAATAGGCCAGAGCCTTGGCCTTCTCAGAGCCATGCGTGCCAATACTGCTGAAAAATGGCTTGAAGAAAGAATCAGAAAGTACGGTTCAGTTTCAAAGCTAAGTCTCTTTGGGAAACCAACAGTCTTCATTCATGGACAGGCTGCAAACAAGTTTATATTCACCACTGATGGCAGCACCATTACCAGCCAACAAACAGAGTCTATTCGTATGATTTTGGGTGACCGGAATATACTGGAGATGAGTGGCAGTGATCACAAGCGTTTAAGAAATGCTCTTATGTTGTTCTTGAAGCCTGAGTCACTGAAGCAATATGTTGGAAAAATGGACCAAGAAACCAGGAAGCGCCTTGAGATGCATTGGCATGGCCAGCAACAAGTAAAAGTGAGTTATTCCTATCAAGAACTTTCTGTGAGAGAATTTTCAAAATAGAAAGAAAGTTGAAAGGGGTTTTGAAATTATATATAAATTTACTTCTTTTTTTTTTCTTTTTTTTTTGGTCTGATATAAATTTACTTCAAGTGACACCATTTGGTGAAAGAAGAGTTTACCCTGTTTTTCAACACTTTTTTTTTCTTTCTATCAGATCTTTTCAACCATGTTTTTCTCATCATAGGAATTGTGGCAGCCAAAGCCATTTTTTCCATCAACCTAACTGCATCCTGTCCCTAGAATGTGTGAAACAAGAGTTACCTAGAAGAAACCTCCCTGTATGCCTTCTGCTTCTGTTTTTTTCTTTTAAGATTAAAAAAGAAAAGTAACTCAAAGCAACAAACAAAGATCAATGTCAATTAACGAAGGTTTCTATTGCTTGATAGGCCTTGCCCCTGATGAAGATCCTCACGTTCAACATAATGTGCTCTCTGCTTTTCGGGCTTGAGCAAGGAACTCGCAGAGATGAACTTGTGGAGTGTTTCCAACAAATGATAGAAGGAATGTGGTCAGTCCCGGTTAACTTTCCGTTCACACGTTACAACCGCAGCCTCAAGGCTAGCAAGAGGGTTCAAAACATGATCAAGGAACTCATATCTGAAAAGAGGGCGGAACTTGAGCAGAAAACTATTTCTCCACTCCAAGACCTTGTCACTTGCTTGCTTAGCATCCGAAATGATGACAATGAAGAAGTTATAACAGAAAAGGAAATCTTGCACAATATCATGCTAATCATGGTTGCAGGACATGACACTTCATCTGTTGTGCTTACTTTTCTTTTTCGGTCTCTAGCTAATGAGGCTGCTGTTTATGAAGCCCTTCTTCAGGGTATAAATATTAGAGGCAAGAGTTTCAAATTTCCTGCATAAAAGGCACTGATCCAATGCAACTGATGCCTTTTGATTTGTGGCTTGCAGAGCAAGAAGAAATAGCTAAAAGCAAATCCCCAGGAGAGTTTCTGACATGGGAAGACCTTGCCAAGATGAAGTACACATGGAGAGTAGCAATGGAAACTATGAGAATAACTCCTCCTGTTTTTGGTGGCTTCAGGAAGGCCTTGAAAGACATTGATTTGGATGGCTTCCTCATCCCCAAAGGGTGGCAAGTAAGTTCAAATGTACAATAAAGAGCTATTAGCATCTGTGTCCCATTTTCTTCCAGAAACATACAACTGATCATAATATCCAATACTGTCAGATATTCTGGGCTACTTCTATGACACATATGGACGAGAGCGTTTTCCCAGAGCCATCAAAGTTTGATCCGACTAGGTTCGAGAACCAAGCATCAGTTCCACCCTACAACTTCATTCCATTCGGAGCGGGGCATCGAGTATGTCCAGGATACGAGTTTGCCAGGATTGAAATACTTGTTGTAATTCATTATATGGTAACTCAGTTCACATGGAAGCTCTGTGCAGACAACAAATTCAGTAGGGATCCCATGCCTGTACCTACTCAAGGACTGCCCTTAGAAATCAGGCCAAGGAAACCTTGTTAAGTATTAAAATGTTTTGTCAACTTAAATAGTTATCATGCTTTGTTTAGAAGGATAACGTGTCTTAATGTAAGTGATGTATTAGCTATCTATATGCTCTTGAAACAAGGTCTGCAAAGCTACATTTGTGAATATTAAGTTACACTGAAAGTTCTGCTTATAGAAATAAATGAAAATGATAACTTAACCAGCACAGATTGAACAATACATAAAATCACTCCCATGATTAATTTAACATGTATTCAACCTTCACCTAAACGCCTTATATGCATGATTAATTTGCTAGTAGTTACCCATGACAATTAATGCAAGAGACTGAAAAAAATATGGGATATGTAAACAACCAAAACTAATGTGTTGTCATCCAGATCTTTCTTTGTCCTATATTATGCATAGTTGGATCGCTAGAGATTGAGTTTCCCTCGTATACGCCCCATGTTCTGCATTTTTTTCAAGATTAGATGAGGCAGATTTGACGGAAGCGCTGCTTCAAGTGGTGGTGGTAGTGATCATTTAGGCTTATTGATTGTTTTAGGATTTTAGATGGTTTTGGTCTTGTGGAGTCTGCTTGAGATCATGCTTAATTTTGTGATGTGAGTTTTGTAGCTGTTTGTGTGGCTTTTGTCCATTTTACTTTTGCTTTTTGGGCTTGTTAGTTGTTGGTCTTCTTGCTCTTTTGGGATTGATGATTTTGCCCTTGTGGCTCTTGTTGGAATTGATCTAATAACTAAAAAGAGATGTTATTTTGCTTACGACAACAAAAGTGATATGTTTATTGAAACAAATACTCTGTTGTGCTCATCATATTTTGGTGTGCTACACTTTTCTTTTTGCTGGAAATTTTGGTGTTACATTATTATAGGTTGAAGTGTTTGTTGGTTTAAAACCGACAAAATTCAATCAATCCACACATGTGATGCAATCCAATTAGAGCTTAGGATCCGATTCAGTCCGATCCATTTTCTATTGGATTGATTGGATTCGATGATTGGTTTTAATTTCATCAAATGACTCGATTTTGAAATTTAGAGATCCAATTCGAGCGGCCAAACCATCAAAAAATTGACCAAAATTAAATTGAATCGGTTGGTTTAAACAAATTGGATTGGATGTTGAACACCCCTAACTATAGGCCAAAATTCAACTCTATCCCGTCTATATCTTTGTTTTTTTATCATTCATAAATTGGGCTGATAGTGAGTTGGCGACACCCCTTTTGTTATTAACGTCTATCTATATTTTCTTCATACAACCTGAGTTCAAAATTCAAATGATGACAAGATCAGGCGTCTTCATGTATTTGACAGTTATGATGCCTGACATCTCTCTAGACAAACCTAAATTTGCAGTCTGATTATACAAACGAAATAATGATCGAATAACCAAGGTGGTTGGTGTGAGTGGTTCGGCACTCTCATTCCTTAAGAGAGGTCAGGGGTTCGATCCTTGCTCTCGTACGGAGTCACCACTTTGGCCAACACTTTACCCCTTACGGGCCGACCCGGTGTGAGTGGGGATTAGTCTGGGTTGTGGTTAAGGCTTAAAGGTGCCACCCATAGTTGGGGCCCATCCAGGACCACCTCATGATTCAGACAAAAAAATAATAATGATCGAATAATTCCCCTGAACTTGAGCCACCTTACTCGACTCGACACTTGTCTTTTGTTTTGTCAAATGTTTACACGCATACAAAAAATGCTTGTTAACATAAATGACTGCACTTTGCATTATATTACAAGTCATACTTGCATCTTTAATAGAAAAGCATGGCCGAACCGGCAATTTGTGAGATACCCTAGAGTGACAGATAAACCTGAGATTCATGTAAACAGAAAAAAATATAACCAATATGTTGTTCCCAACTCCTTTCTGAGACTAGGGAAAACTCCAATTCAATCAATTTGGAATGACAATATAAAAAAAAATAAGGAAAAAAAAAACATTGTGGAAAAGAAAGACATGCATTACAATTCATATTCCTTTTATCATGTACATTGTACAACAATTGGAACACTAACACGCCCTCCTGTTGTACCTGACTACCGAATGTATTTACAGCTTCGCCATCTTTCATTCATTTGTATCCAACAATAGAACTACACTAAAAGCAGAAGAAACTGGAATGACATCAACCATAGGCCTAACAATTACAAATTGTGGACTTAGCAATTCCGTGACCTGGAGTACTTTGGGGGCAGTGATTCGCACCTTTCATTCATATGGGAGTATGGTTCCATGCTGTTGTATTTAGGTAGTTCCATTCGATACTTCCCTTTAATCTGACAGA